AAAAATTTTTTTTTTTTTTTTTTTTTTTTTTTTTTTTTTTTTTTTTTTTTTTTGCAGTTTATATTCATGCTAACAATGTTGAATGAAGATGAGCACAATATTGCATTTCTTTGGTCATAATTTTACACTTAGAAATTAATCAGATGGACTAAAGTCAAACTCATTGAGAAAGAGTGCTGGAACATTCTTTTTGTCTTGTTGCACAATTTTGTCTTAATTGCGGTATTGAAGAATTAACCTAAATCGCCACTCACTCAACTGTTTAAATTAAAAATAGTTTGCGGATGTATAATATATGTATAATCCATATCTAATATATATACAGTCATATATAATTAATGTATAATCTATGTATACCGGCTAGAAAAAATAAACAGTAAATTAAACCGGCTATTATTGTAAATTTGAAATCTTATTAACCTTATCTTTTAAGGACAATTAGGTTGTCCAAGCTCCTCTACTTTTGGTTCATACTTGCATTACCATACAAGTCACTAATAAGAGCAAAACAAACTTCCAATAAAATTTGACTGTTTCTATCTTGTTTTAGGGTAAATGGTCTTACACCATTTTTTTTTCCACCCGGTGTTTGGTACCCGCATTAGAGCCCGACTATATCCGGATTCGTACAACATAGGACTGTATTCAGGGGGAAACGCTCTTTATCAAAGATTTTTCCTTACCAGGGCTCAAACCTGAGACCCCTGGGCCCTGGTTAAGGAAAAAGCAACACATCCGCTATCCTACATCCTTGGTGGTTACTCCATTCCTTTAAGTTTATGCTAATCTATTTCCTTTTAAGTTTGTTCGGAAAACTAAATTTTAAATTTCGAAAATAATTTCACGTAAAACTTTTAGTTTATTGTATAACAAACTTTTATAGTTACATAAATATTATAATATGTGTAAGTCCATAAAAGTTTCAGAAACTTTATAGACACGCTTCATTTATGAAATAAAAGTTTAAGATCACAAAATTTTGAAAGTTTTTATTTCTTTCTTAAATTTCGTGCCCAATCAAATATAATTATATAAAATAAAACGGGGGAGACAATTAGCATGCACCCACCAAGTGAAGCATAGCAAACTCGTTTTTGTTCTCAAATTTCTCCAATTGAAAAATAACAAACGCCCAAATTCAATTAATTCAAAGGTCCCAAATAATACAACAAAAAGTACATAATCTCCTTAATATTCTATATTACATCAATATCATAACTTCACAAATGAAAGAATATTTCTTAATATTATAATAAAAATCTCATAATATTGCACACAAATTAACTAATTTTGGTGTCTTATCATCTCAAACTAATATAAAATAAAACCAATTGCACCAAATGCAACAAGGAGGAATAATGGTGAAAAACCATAGCTAAGAGAAGGGGCAGCTGATGGCGTAACAGGATTTTGACGACGGCCGGAATTCGTCACGGATGGAGATGTAGGAGTTACAGTAGGAACTGTCTCAGCTTCTGGTGCCAAAGTTGGTGACATTGGTTGGGAATCAGTCACATCTGTGCAAATTGTTATCAAGTTAAAATCATAGAATCCATAAAAATTTAATCTATGCTGGTCAGATCATCTAAAATATCGTTTCACCCGTGTCGAATCCTCCAAAAATAAATGACTTTTGGAGAATCTTATACACACTCAGCACGATTTTTGAAGGATCCGAGCACATAACTTTTTAAGAAGTTAGTATCGACAAATGTATGTATAATCATGTGTAATCAGTGTATAATCTATGTATATCGACTAGAAAAAATAAAGAAGTAATTCCGACCGGCTATTTATGTAAAGATTCCAAAATTATATTAATACCTTTAGGACTACGAGATGGACTGGGAGCAGATGTTGGTGAAGAACTTGGAGCATCAGCACCAGAAGGACCTAGTTGACACAAAAAAAAGTATTAAATTCACATAATTTTTCAAGGCAATTCTAGATAATAAAATCCTTGAAATGGACATTAATATTACTAAAAAATTATGACATGAAATTGGTAAATATGTACCTGGAGCCGCTGCAGGTGGACTTGAGGCTGCAATCAAAAAAATCACTAAGGGTGTTAGTAACCATTGAAAATTTTGTAACAATAAGGCTAAAAATGTAAATATAAACATAATAGTCCTCTTAAATTTTCTTATTTGTAAAACAAGTCGAGGAATGAAGGGGAGTGTTGGCGCATCAGTAAAAGTTGCGCGTCGTGACTAGGAGGCTAGGGATTTAAGTGGCGAAAACAGTCTCTTGCAGAAATATAAGATAAGCATACATAAGACCCAATGTGGTCCAACCAGAGGCAAACCCAAGATTTGAAGGTTGTAGTTGCACTTTTGAATTTAACCAAAATCTGCTTTGTAAAGACATATGCATGTATATATATAATTTTTGCCAACTTTTAGAGTGTCGGTGACCCTCTCTTTACAGCATAGGTCCGCCTCTAGGCCCAACCTTTCTCGAATTCCATGCATAATAGGAGCTTAATATATCAAGCCGCTCTTTTGATTAGAGGAATGTAGTGGCTCAAACTTTGAGTTTATCCAACACAATTAAAGGACAACCCGAAGCACTAAGCTCTCACTACGCGCGAGGTCCGGGGAAGGGCCGAATCACAAGGGTCTATTGTACGCAGCCTTACCCTGCATTTCTGCAGGAGGCTGTTTCCACGGCTCGAACACGTGACCTCCTGGTCACATGACACCAATTTCACCAGTTACGGCAAAGCTCCCCTTCTTAATCCAACACAACTATGCAACTAAAAATGGAAAGAAATGGTGTCCATTTCCTTCTTTTCAAAACTTACAAACATTTGATGTCTTTTCTATTATAGTTTAATCATAAAATTTTTACCTTTGCATTGGAATGGAACAGCAGCCATATTACAAGCACGAGGAAGAGACATAGTTGCATTCGGATTGATTGGAATTTGAAAAGGAATGCCACCAGTTGCAATAACACAAAGACAAGCAGTGCCATTACTCATCAAAGTTTTAAGTGCAGTGCAACATCCTGCAGATGGGGTTGTCCCATTGCCACTGCTGTTGGCCAAGAAACTCAAACAAGGAGTGAAACTTGTCAACATCGTCGACGTGCAAGGGGAAGTTGGAAATTGGGCATTAATAGGTAGAGCTGCTAAGACGACGCAAGAAAGAAACATAACTAGAAATAAAACAGAGTTGTGAAAAGCCATTGTACTAAAAGAGAGTTTTTTGTTTTTGTTTTTGTTTATGTTTTGTTAATGTGATTTGTTTGAGGAATTTTGATGGTTGGAATGGTTAAGTGAGGAGAAAGAAGAGGGAATATATATAGAAGAAATGTATAAAAGAGAAATGTAGCTACGTTGTTGATGAATAAGTAGGTGATGAAGTTTAACTACTATAACAAACTTTTTTGTCAAATTCTTCAATAGTTTTACTGACTTGTTGGCTTTGCTTGCCGTGGTCTAATTGTTGTTTTTGCCTTTGAATTCTGCCACAGCCAATGAAGAGGGTTCAACTGAATTCCCTTCGTTAAAATATTAGACTGTAAAAATAGAACAAAAGTAACTTTTTTTCCTATATACATAAAATTTTGAATCCCCTTAAAGGGAAGTTTTCATTTGTAGTGGCAAAGATAATTCAAAAATTACTATTTGGCGCATGTTCGAAAATTTTGAATTCCTTTGTTAAAATTCTTGGCTCCGTCACTGCGTTGAAGGGGCCGGTCACTTTTAGACATGGCATTGAACGAACAAACAAATGCATGACATGTGACATTATCTTGCAATTTACTACTCCCTCTGTTTCAAAAAGATTGACATTATTTCCTTATTAGTCCGTATAAAAAAGATTGATATATTTTAATATTTCTTTAATAGGAAGCGTTTATAGCCATATAAATGCAACCGATTTCAAACTATAAGTTTCAAAATTTTTACAACCACACAAATGTTATGACTTATTTAAAACCATATATCTCAAAAGTCTTCCCTACTTTATTAAAGTTTGTGTCAAGTCAAACATGAACAATCCTTTTGAAACGAATATAGTATTAACTTTTACTCGGTCGTAAAAAATAATTATAATGTATCAGATTCCACTATAAATTTTTTGATAAAATTAAAATTTCTCAAAACAGAAAAGCAATTTTTCTTGAAATGCAAAAATAGAACTTTAATAAAGGTTTTCCAGCATAAGTATAATTTGCCTGTAAGAAAGTTTGAAATAATTGGAATCAGATTCCAATCATAACCTTCTTTAAGTTCATTAAAGTCTTTATCTTTGAATAGCTTTTTAAGTCTTAGCTGTTTTCTATTTACCAGTAAACTAATTGTGATTAAACAAATTGTGGGGTACAATTAGCATGAGTTGGTAACCTGTATAACTAACTATTTTCCAACTTTACCTAATTCATTTGTAAATTATGACAACAAATCATCAACAATTATTTTTCCTTTCCAACTCACCAATTATATGAACATCTTATTTTGACTCTTCATTCTCTATCTTCTATATAAATCAAACCACATTTTCTCTGCACTTCACTACCATTTCTGAGCATCAAACACCAATTAAATGGCAATTCAAAGGAACTCAATGGGTCTTGTTTTCGTTGCGTTAGCGATGATCTGGACAGGAGCTGCAGCTCAATCAAACGATGACTGCACGAATGTGTTGGTTAGTATGTCGCCTTGCCTGAATTACATCACGGGGAACTCTTCATCGCCGTCCTCAGGATGCTGCACGCAGCTTGGCACGGTGGTTAAAAACAACCCCGAGTGCTTGTGCCAGGTCCTCAACGGTGGTGGTTCCAACCTCGGCCTCAACATTAACCAGACTCAAGCTCTGGCTCTTCCTACTGCTTGCAAAGTTCAGACTCCATCAGTCAGCAAATGCAATGGTAAGAAAGACAATTCATTCTAAAATACTCCTTTCGCTCATTTTATGTATTAATTTGACTAGATACGAAATTTAAGAATGTAAAGAAGACTTTTGAATCTTGCGTCTTAAACTAAGGAGGTGAGCATCCTCTACTTCCAACCAAGAGGTTGTGAGTTTGAGTCACCCCAAGAGTAAGGTGGGGAGTTCTTGGAGGAAGGGATGCCGATGGTCTATCGGAAACAACTTCTTTACCTCAGGGTAGGGTAAGGTCTGCGTACACACTATCCTAACCAGACCCCACTAGCGGGATTATATTGTTGTCTTAAACTAAAGGTATGTATAATATACCAAAAGTACCCTTTGATATTTGGAACGTTAAACAGTCATTTATGGAGTGTCATCCGTGACGGAACCAGGAATTTCAAAAAAAGGGATTCATAAATTTCTAGAATATCACAATTGGGATTTGAACATATGACCTACAACAACTTTTGAACCCCCTTTTGCTGCTACACTAAAATTCTTCATGTCAAGTGAATTCAATGGTTTACATATAATCAGAAAATAATAATTTCACCCTACTTGCACAATATAATTATTCTGATGAAGAGGATTCAGTTGAGCCCCCTTCCCTCTACTTAGTTCCGCCATTTAGTGTCATTAAGGGTAAGTTGAGAACGTTGAAAGTAAAAACTTACAAAATAGATATTCTTTTCGAAACAGAGTAAAAGGTAAGTAACACCACATAAATTGAAACGGAAGGAGCATCAACTATAAACTTTGTTACTTGCGAATTTGATAGTTCAATAACATTACTTACCTGTAACAGCCGGCTCCCCGAATAGTTCTCCTGCTGGAACACCAAGTTCTCCTGGTACAGAAGCTTCAGGTACATTATAATCCGTTAAAATTAGTCTTCATTTTTTTGGGAAGTTCAAATTTTGGGTTTTAACTCGAAACACTTAACTTACATATACCATATCGCGTGACAGGGCGTGGATCTGTACCATCATCAGAAGGCGGTTCCAGTGATGCAACTTTAACCAAGATGATTGGTCTTCCTTTCTTCTTCCTTCTCTTCATTAGTTCTTATGCTTCAACATTCACCACCGCCTAACTCCGGATTATCAGGTTTTGGGATCATATCAGAAGTCAACTTTCTCACAGAGATTGATTTTTTATTGTATTTTTGTTGAATATATATCTGCAACATTCTCTTGGGGTGCGGCTCTTCCCCGGATCCTGCGCGAACACGGGATGCCTTGTGCACCGACCTGCCCATTATTGTGATATGTATTAACTAGTTTTTCTTTGTATTAACAAATTTGTCGGCCTTTATTGGAAATAGCGGGAGTCGGTGGTCCAGCTTCTGTTTGTGATAATTGCTACTAACTTATTTCACCAGAACAATAGCATGATATCAGGATTAATAGGCAGTCAAGTATCATAAATGGATTTCAGAATATAAGCTGTTTTACTATTAGGCAAGAAAAACAAAGAAATCATGAAAAATCAGCTAGCGCAACAGTACTCAACTGGAGAATAACTCATAATGCTTCTCAAAGCGGCGGAGCCAGAGTTTTCACTAAGGGGATTTAAAATATAAAGAAGTAAACACACGAGAAAAAAAATTCAATCTATCTACACCAATGCAATGTAATTTTCCGGCCAAGGGGTACCAATTGACTCCCCTTGGACCAGGGTAGCTCCGTCCCTGCTTCTCACCCTTCCTCCGCATATATCTAGTAATAACTGATCACTATTTGCTGTAAGGATGGCACCCCAGATTTCCCATCATATGATAAACACTCAATTATTCGCTCACTCATCATATAAATTTCCATTAGGACTTGGACTTGGTACTCTCTTTATCCAACAAGCATCAAAAACAACAATAACCCAGTAAAATCCCATTAATGGGGTCTGCGGAGGGTAGTGTGTACGCAGACCTTACCCCTACCCCGCAGGAGTAGGGAGGTTGTTTCCGAAAGACCCTCGGCTCAAGAAAAAAGACAAAGCCAACAAGCATCAACAACATGACCTGAAAATAGAAGCTATTTGCGCCCGCCGTCTTCTCCATCACATTTTGTCAGTGCCCTCCCCTATCATCCCATATTCCCATGGATTTTTCTCCTGAATATTATATCCCATGATATTTCGTGTATACTAAACTTAAAAGCACAATCTAAAGGGAAGTATTGTGAAGCTGGAAAAGCTTTCCGACATGCCAAAGTCATCCAAAACAACTAAGATCAAAACATATTTTAGAATGCAAATAAGCAAAACAAGGGGTCAGGTTACTACACAGTATCACATTGAGATAGCGCCCTTTACTTCCCTTATGAATCATCAAATAAAGCTGTGGTAAAAGCAACAACAACAACAAAATACCTCGTGAAATCCCACAAGTAGGGTCTGGAGAGGGTAGTGTGTACGCAGCCTTACCCCCACCTTTGTGAAGGTAGATAGGTTGTTTCCGATAGACAATTGGTAAAAGCAATAACAACCTATGTTGCACGGACTCTACAAGATGCTGCCACACTCGTGTCCGATCCTCCAAAAATACACTACTTTTAAAGGATCTAACACGCATTCAGCAATATTATCGGAGAGTAAGAGCAACATAGATAACAACAATTACTATATCTCAAATCCAAGCAAGTTGAAGTCGGTTATATGAATTCACATAGTTGATATCGTCCACCTAAGCTCATTTCACTCTAATATTATATAAAATTAAATAAAATGAGCATACTCACATTACCAATCTCAAATTCGAATAAAAAAGAGTAGCAGTAAGTTAACAACTAGTATATATAAACTGCCTATATATTTATGATAAACTTCCACAACACAAAGCCAAGGAGTAAAGACATGGCTGATGCAACACTTCGATAAAGGATTCATTCGACCCTAATATTTTATACACAAAGTATATATTTATATGTGAAAATCCACAAAAATTTCAACAACTATTAAATCTAAATTCATAATTTTATAAGTACAACGAGTTCAACACTAAGAAACTTATATGTTGTACCCATCAATTTTAAATCTTGGATCCGCCTCTAGAGCAAAAATTAAGAACGCTACGATAGATGAGAATCAGTTGCAAGAAAGCTGAATATTACCATGTCTCTTGATCTCCCTTTCAACACCATGTACTTCCTCAGAACTCCCTCTTTTAAAAAACCAGCTTTTTCCAACACCCTTTGGGACCCTTTATTATCAACATCCACCAAAGCTTCAATCCTTTCAAGATTTGGCAACTCAGTAAATATGACTGATGTTACCATTTTCACTGTTTTTCTAACAATCCCTTTGCCCCAATACTTATAAGCCAATACATATCCAAGCTCAGCTCTGATAACAGAATTGGGTGTAACAGAAATGGAACCAATTGCTTTATCAGTCCGGTGCATTAAGCTGCCGCTATGCGCGAGGTCCGGGAGGGAGGGTCGGACCACAAAGATGTATTATACGCAGCCTTACCTTATATTTTTGCAAGAGATTGTTAACCCGCGACCTTCTGGTCATATGAAAGCGATTTTACCAGTTACGTTGCTTTATTATTAATGCAAATTGCTCTAAACCATGGATGGGTAGCGTTGGTGTTGAGAAATTCTAAAGCTTGGTGTTTGGAAGTATAAGTATCCCAAGTGCAAAAATGGCTGACTTTTTCATCTGTTTGTGAAAAAAATAAAGTTAATTTTTTGGAATAATATAGAATTCTCTAGAATGTCCTAGTTTA